TTTGTGTTTGTGAAAAAAGTGAATCTCTGTAGACACAAATTTCATCTTTTCTACTAGGGTACAAGCAATTCAAAAAGCTTGCATCCTGTACCACTTAGTAACTTAGCTGTGGGATCTGGAAGAAAAGATAACACTTGCAATTCTACTTGCAATTCAAATAATAGTAGCTGTGTTCGAAGAAAGACCTTGAAAATGTGCAAGAGTCCTTTGACTTAATAAACAATTTTTCCAAAGGAGAATTCAAAACTGTTTAATGTTCCAGGCCTCAGATATTAGTACAGGTTTACCAAGACTGTGTCTGAAATTCTTTCCTGCTTCCAATTATGATATCACAGCATGGGGAAATTGTTTTTTTTTTCTCATTTTATTCCTACAATTCTACAAACATATCATGGATATTTCAGCTAGTCAGCAGTGGTGTCAAGATCATACTATAAATCAGAGATCTACAGTACCTTTACAAACAGTGTCCTGTTTCTGGTCCATTCATTTGAACTCATTGCATATACAGTAATATTTGCATGTATTTAACATTTCTGGTACTTCTTGCTCATTGGGGCTTTTGGAGCAATAGAATATGCTGCTAAAGCAGAAATATAATTTAATTGACAATGTTTTTGTTTTGTAATGCACCAAAATGTCAAACAGGCACTTTACCAGCTTTGTTAATTAGGTTGAAAACTGTGTTTAATTTTTTTTTTCCTGGTTTCCTTTAACATCAATTGAAAGGCAAAACTTATGGGAAGTGCATCTGCATTTCAAAACAAGGATAAAACAACATGATGCGAGACGGATTCTAATGGGCTTTGAATATTTAGAAAGCCCTTTCCACTATGGAAAATAGCAGGCTGATGGAAATGTCTCTTTGTTTTCAAACACATAATGGTCATGGTAAGCCACCAATTAACAAAAGCATTTTACTATAGGCATTGTCTTGTGATGGCTGTTGAAGGAATTTAAAGCTATATCATGGATGATATTAATTACTTTAGTGCTAGGACATACTGTACGGTTGTGAGTGATGTTTCCTCCGACATCCTACCACTGAAAAGCTGGAATGGAGAGACTGGGCATTTTTTCATCAACACTGTACAGTAAAAATGCAAAACGTTCTTTGAAGAGCTTGGCTATGGTGACAATTATTCAAACCTTGTATCATGTGCCTTCTGTTACAGCACGATTGACCTTTGTCTATTAAACATTATCTTCAAGGGATAATCAACCACAGTTACTTTGTTTTCCATTGATTTAATTGTTAAAGACCAGATGTTAAAGTATTAGCTGTACGCCATTAATTTTGCCCAGTAATTTATGTTTTTATTCATTGTTCTAAACATGTATACAGTATCATTTTTTCCCCCTTATTTTAGTTCATTTTGACTTTAGATATTGTAATTTACTTTTGTTGGTTGAGAGAACTTTTTCTTGTAATGTTAAATGCAAAACTCTGATAAATCATGACGGTGAATTTAGAAATGCATACAGTGGATGAATAACAATATTAAGCTCCAGAGTCAAGAACAAATTTAATTGTCATACACAGATGTATTTTATTTAACTCCGCTCCTTGCTTTCACTGTTGCTACAATTCAAAATAGATTTCTTATTTATGAGAACACACTAGTTAGAAGGCCAGTTCAGGAAACTTCAGTCTTGAATCCGTTTTCCCGTAGTTTGTGAAACTAAATCCTAAATGTCAATAATACTGCTCATCCATGGAGCTAGTGCTTTTAGATAATTTTAGGACAGTTTATTACATTTAATACTTCAGACATTAGTCTACTTCACGATTATGTTCTGTAGGAATTAGAGGATACTGAATGTAGCAGTTCAGATTTATTTAGCACAACAGTGTTTCAAGCTGCTTCGTCCAGAACAGTTTAGTCCTGAAATGAAATTGTAAATACATACAGCACCGTATGAAGTAGGACATTTTTCCAAGGGCAAACAAATGAGAACTATGTCACTGTTATGAAGGACACAAAAAATATGTTCGCAGTGCTGCTCATCTAGCATTTCCCTGTGGCTGATAATTTGCTTAGGACTGACAACTATTGAGATTTATTCTTTAATTGATGACCCAAAAGAAGGGAGTACAGCGGCTGTTGACAGGGTTCTGCCATGTCTTATTTTTCTCCTGTTAAATCAGCTTGGCCACTGTCCAGTTCCTAGCCTCTGCCTTCTGGGCTCAGCTCAATGGCAGAAAGAGCTGGATGACTGAATAATTTGCATTGCTTGCTCCCCTTCTCTCGTAGCCATGAAAACAAATTAGCATAACATAAGTGAATGGTTAAGAATAATAAGAAGAATGAGGTCCTTTCCAAACATTTTACAACCCTTTTACGCCTTAATGTTTTGTGATCAACTGTTTGTAGGTCATAATGTCCAACAATCAAAGCGAATGCTGTGGTACACCATTGACCAGAATTGGGATAGAAACCAAAAGAGTGAATGAGTGACTAATAAATACCAGGTTCATAAAAATAATAATGGTAGAAGAAAAAATAATCTCTAGACTTTTAACCAAAGGATCAAGAGTTGAAATCACGTATGAGGACAGTTACTGTACTATTGAGCGAAGTGCTTTACCCAGATGGCTCTACTAAACCCAGTCGTGTAAGATTTCTTTTGAGCTATGATCCTTGTGTTTTACTGGTGCGGGGTTGCTCAAGCCCTTGTTGTGTAAAGATATCATTCCATTCTGTGGATATTTTGGGTGAGCGGTGTTGTTAAGAGGGTTATTTTTTATTAAGTGAACCCCAAGTTAAGTTCCGGACTTGCAGTGCTGTCTGCATGGAGTTGATATTTTTTCCCCATGTTCGTGTTTCCCCCCACAGTCCAAAGACATACTGTTATGCTAATTGGCTTCTGGAGAAATTACTGGTGGTACTGTATGTGCATATCTGTGTACAGTATGTGTACAGTACCCTTTGATAGACTGGCGTCCAGTCCAGGATGTATCCTGCCTTGCACTTGACAGGCTCCTGCCCTTGCCACTCTGATGTGCATGAAGTGGTTAGAACATGGATAGATGGATGAAATTAAGCTTAAACACTACAAAACATATAAAAAAGAAAGTTTAGGTACATTTCTTGAGTTTTTAAAAATCAAAATAGCTCTTGAAGAAAGTAAAAAAAAACATTAAAAGAACAGCCATGAAATTTTTGTAAAACAAAGTATTATACTGTACATCACCATGTGTTGCTGCAATGGTTGAAAGAATGTGCCTGTCATTGCTCTTTTCACTGATAAGTTTTCATGTCCAACAACTTCACCAGGTGTTGTTAGTGTGGCCAGGTGAGTGAAAAAGCAGGACAGCCCTGGTTATGCTGACAGTGGGCTACATTCCAGACAAATTATGGTAGCAGGTGCATCGTGCTGAGCTTAAAAAAAGTTTTTTTGGAACCCTGGCATGTTTTTTGTTTGTTTCATGGTTATGCTTTTATATATAAAAGGGAAAAAATCCATATTTTTTCCCTTTTTAAAATTGTGCATCTGTGGATATACAGTATATTTTTTCAAAATTGTCATACTATCGTAATATTTCCACATTAACCTTCATAACAAATATGATATTTCAGTACTGTATCTACAGACTGGAGAATATATTTTAATTGGCACTTATCCCTTATTTGCGAGTACAGAACATGCCCCACGGTGTACCTTACGGTTTCCACTATATGTCGTCTTTTTGGGCTACATGATTTTCAGCTTAGCCATCTGTTAATTGGCAGAGGCCTATAGTAATCTTACCAAAGGTCTTTTATTAAGAGTGTTCTTAAGCATTAAAGAAAAGTACAGTCCTTTTGTAACCCATAAGACATTAAGGAATGGGTTACTCAGTGGAAAAATAGTAATGTGCTTAGAGGCTTTAAAGCTGCAACAGATAAGGACTGAACAGCAGAACAGTAATATCGAGATAGTGTTTAAGAAAATTGCCTCTGATTGCTTTGAGCAATCTGCAGAATATTTTGTTCATTAATGAAACTCCACGTATTGCCTTCATTGGTACACATTTCCCTTTTCCACTTAGAGGATATAACTCCTTCATCTTTTGAATATAAGCATGATAAAGAGTAATACATTTTTACAGGTGAAAAGTTTAGTTACAAATCACCAACTTAGACACGCTTTTGTCTAATTGTCTACTTTTAAGATTTTTAGTTGAAAGAGCTCTTCTTTCTAAAATGGTGATAGTCTCATACAGTATAACATAGGATTTATACAGTCATTGAAGAAAGACCTGCATAACAAAAGATGTGTAACTGTGTATGCTTTTGTACTCTTTTTATGGATACAGTATGTGTAAGTAATTATAGACATGTTGCTATTGACTCTATAAATCTGATTTTCCTGTGGAAGTCATGTAAATGAATATAGCAATGGAAAAAAAAGTATCTGAATGGACTAAATTACTGATACCATCACTCAAGATATGTAGAAGTGTTCATATTTTTGGGAAGTCTTAGAGTTTTGGGTCAAAACTAGATTAATGTAACAATATAAGGTGTGCTTACAAAAGAATAAGCAGGCATTACAACTGTGTGGCATTATTTTGAAATCATTTTACTGAATCGGAGCTCATTTTTTAACAAGACACTGATAATGGTACTGCTAATGTACTGTGGTTAGGTGTCCTGCAAGCAACCAATGATGTGATAAAAATATTCTACCACTGTGCATCTTTGCAAGTTGCTAGACAAAATAAATCATAATGCCGCCATCAAACAAAAAAACATTTGCAAATTTGCTTTAGTTTTGAGGTTTCACATGCTAATGATAGACTCAACAAATTAGCATTGGACTCAATAGCATGGGATTTTAATTCCTCTCAGTATATAACTTCAAAGACATAGCATAAATTAATCTAAAATGAAAGCTAAAGTGTGGCAACTTGGTAACTTTTGTACATTCAGCATGAATTATAAGTAGCTGTAACAGTGAAGGTCTCTAGTGTTTTTATGCTAGTGTCTAACCACCTTCCTGCATTTGTTTTCAAGGTTTAACATGGAAAGATGATGCAACTCAACAGGTGATTTCTAAAGAACTTTCTAAACTGCGAAAGGTCTACTACAGGCTTTCTGAGACCAACTCCCCAGACATCGGCAGTAATCCCAGGTAATTGTTATGGTTTATCTGAATGCTCTCTGTATTTTATGTAAATATGCAGTGCTTGTACAGTACATGTTCCCGACTCATGGGGAAACATTCAGTGACCATGGCTGCTTTTGATTATTAGCAGAGAAGATTTCATGGAGGCTCGATTCAGATCATCCAACTTCTGTAAGAAACTGAGAGCCACATTCTGGCTGAAACTCAACTGAGAAACAAAGCCCAAAGAGAATATATAGAAGTGTAAGAGCATTTAGAAAAGATAATTGCAGACCCTTCAACATAAACTACACAGAAGGAGTATACTGTAGTTCTACTTGGCCACTTTATGGAAGCTGATTCATAGGGGCGCTTCAAAACGTTGCTTGATGACACTCTTGGACTAACAAGTACTAGCAGCTAAATGAGCAACACAGGCCAAGTGGCCTGCTTCCCTCTATACTGTTTCTTATGTTATCATGTTATATTTAAACATGTTGGAGATCTCTTTATATTCTAGAAACAGATTTTCCTTCTGTGGAAGGGATACTTACAGACTGTGTTTACATGCTTTGTGAATGTTGCCCCATTGGTTAAAACATAGCAACATGCTGCTTTCCCTATTGATTTGTCTTAGATGAATAAGTATCGATTAGTGGGAAAGCCTTTATATTTCTTTACATTTACCCTTGTGGTTGGATAAAAATGAGTTATTTTAAAATGTTTTGATTTATAAAGAAGCTAAAATGACTTTAAATAGGTTTATTCCATGCTGAAAAGAGAAGAGAGAAACACAACATGTCGACTGTGAAGCCTTCTTCAGGTGTGAGAAAGACAGGGCAGACAGCAAAGATTAAATAGCACAGGAGAACAAAAGCTGGGAGAGGGGAGAGACAGAGAGGCCACTCAGGAAGTGCAAAGTGGAGAGGGGTGAAGAAAGGTGTGAAGTCAAAACCTGCAAGAGAATAGAGAAGATTACACAAAGATAAGTCTTTCATTGAGTGAAGGGGGGTGGTGTGAACCTAGTTTTTGGATGAGTTTAGCTACAGTTGTTTTTCTGCTATGGGAGTTGAGAAACCCCTCTTTGAGAACAGAGACAGAGAGATCAGTGTGATCATGGCCGTCTGAGGTGAAATGAGAAACTATGGGCTTGGAGAAATCTTTAATCTTAGCAGCCCTAACATGTTTTCTGAAGCGGTCTCCTAGTCTCCTTCCGGTTTCCCTAACGTAGATACCTGGGCATTTTTTGCAAGAGATACAGTAAATGAGGTTGCTGGAGGTACAGGATGTCGTCTGGGTGATCTGGAATTGGCCTGAGGGTCCCTGAATGAGCTGAATGAGAATGAGGGGCCCTGAATGAGAAATACATATCTAACTGCACGTTAGATATGTATTTGCAGGTGATGCAGCGAGTTCTTTTGCAGGGGAAGGTGCCTGGTGGGGATGATTGCCAAGTGCGGTCAAGGGAGCTGTGAACCAGAAGTTTTCGTAGATTGGGTTGTCGGCAGTATGAGATGATTGGGGGGTTAGAAAAAGGGGTACCAATGGAGGGATTACTTTATTAATTTATATTAAAAATCCTTTATAAATTCAGCATATAATGCTTTTTCCCAATTCTATTTAGGTGCAGAAAGTATGTTTCCTTTATTTTCAGGAATTGGATGAGGATTTTAGAAATAGCCCTGTTTAAATGTGTGTAGTTATTCATATTCTATTTGTTTCTGTAATTTCTCTGTTGCGTTACCAATAGAAGAAGAATGTTTTATGTTTTAGAATGTTTTTTTAGAATTGCTTTAGAATGTTTTGGTATTCAGGATTGTTCTATAATGGTTTGGTTTTCAGACTGTTCATTTCTCTGGATCTTACAGGACTCCGAGTCAGAATATTGACAGTGAGAAGAAATATGGACAGAATGGAGACCTCAGCAGATCTGTACAGCAGTACCTTCTCTACCTGGGTTATCTACCACAGTCAGGTGCTTCTGCCAGTCAGAAAACCAAGAATGAGCAGGCCCCCATCAAGGTAGATACTGTATCTGTCTTCTGTTTATAAGGAGGCCATAGTGTGGCACCTTGTGACATTTTAGGTTTGCATCATGCATATTTGGGTACAATTTAAGGGGCTGATATTAATTTAGAAGTAATGTGCGGCATTCACTTCATTTTCTACCAATGCAATTTTATACAAAGGCATGTAGCTCCTAAAAAACCAAAAATAGATCAAACTCTTCTGAAATGGCTGGTTTTGTTTTCAACCCCTGAAATGTTCTTTCTATATACTGTATATATATTTGAGTCACATCTTTAATCCAACAAAATTTTAAAAAGGCCATGGTTTGTCCCTGCCTAGATACATACTGTAGCCTCGTAGAAAAAAAATGCTTCCTATTTTTTTTACATAATTAAGTATTAGTATATCTAATTTCAATCAGGGGAGACATTATTACTGTACCTCATTCTTCTTTTAAAATATGAAAAAACTCAATCCGAATGCACCACTATATCATGTATCATTCTTTATGAGAGGTAAAAAATACAAATGTTGCAATTCGGAACACATTTCCTTTAGGATAACCACGAAGTCCCCATTGCTTATGAACATAGGGAAGGCTGTTAAGGTAAAGAGATAAGTGTTCTTCATAGATAAAGGATGCTTTCTAAAATGCTACAGTAGATGCTACTTGTGAAAGGAAAGATGCTGGATTATGAAACTGTCAGATTATGAACATAATGAATTTAAGAATACTGAACTGTATCGCATGCTGATTAAACCTGTTCATAACATATGATCAAAAGACTTTTGTTCCAAGAATTTTGGGAAGAAAATTCAAGATGTGGCCACTGGATGGCATCTATCACTTACTTTTTCCTACGCTAAATGTTCTAAACATTTGTATTTAAATGCTTGAATTGAATCAGAATTCAAAGTTTGCAATTTTGTTGAAAAGGTTTTTTTTTATCACCATACTGACCCAGGGCTGCTTCGAAAACCATTCAATTTATTTAACAAGAAACGACCAAATTTGATTGTCTGTTGTTTTAGTGTGGGGCTCCTGATCTAGTTAACTCTGTGTTTGTTTTCTAGTTGAGTTGTCAAATGCTTAAGCGTTCTTAGTCAAACCTTATATTCAACTAGAAGTAAGTCATACAGTAGTTCATTTTATATTGTTTTATACTTGTGCACATTTTTACATAATAAGGGAATGTATTAAAAAAAATTATTAAAAACATTGCAGAAATAATTACAACATTTTAAAAAATACAATGGTATCTTTATCACAAAGATCTCAGATCATAATGTAGACATTCTCACTAATACCAAATTGCAAATGTTATTTTGTGTTGTTTTGTTATTAGTCGGATGCTCATTGGGTGCAGTTTTTTAATGTGATGCACAAATGCTAAATCATTATAGCCATAACTGTTTAGGACTCAGCACAGATGGTTGTTTGTATTGTGGATCTTGGATTGACTTCACTCAGACTTATGTAAATATTAATATGGCCTTGAAATGCATACGGAAAGGCAAAAAAAAAACAACTGGAAGAAAATAAATATCAGTCCATGTTTTAAACTTAATGGACAGTGACTGGACTTCAAAGTCGTTTGACCAAGGTTGTGACATGTTTTTATGTTTTTGTCCTGCACCAGTTTTATACTGTATAACCATGTTTCCAGTAACTTATGATGGCCAGTAATAATGGGCTGGCCGTTTTATTACTGAATTTGAAGCTTGATTCTTAGCACTTTATTTCTGAATGTAATTTGCTCCATAAAAATACTATTTTAAAACTTTGAATTGTATTTGTTCATATATACTGTATGTTTATATACATACATATATTCGAGTGCTGCATTAAGAACAGGTGAAAGGATGCAATAATCAGGTACACAAAGATACATTTAATATACAAAGCACATAAAAGTATTTAGGAATTTGATAATATGATTTTGATTGATCCTTTCAGTGATTTTAGAGAAAGCAAAAGCTGTATCAACAGCAGTCACTGATTCTTATGAGGCTTCAAACTTTTGAAATGCCACATTCATTTCCCCATTCAAAGGCTTATTTGCTACACAGTCAAGAGGTGAGCTCAGCAGGATTGTATAACTAATATTGACAAATGTGGGGCATACAAAATACATAAAGCAACACAACACTATGAAAGAACACTTGAAAAAATTATTCATTGTATTTCAAAGATGTTTTTTTTATTTCATTAAAGCATGCAGCTTTAAGGTATCCACATACCAGATTGTAGAAGGCTTTTGTAAATTTAGATTTTCAAAAATGATTATTTCTTCTAAAACCACCTGATGTGGAATCGCCTTGTGTATTTTTCGTGGCCATGAGCCAGTGCACAGTGGACAATGAAGGGTAGGCAGTGTCCTCCGACTTCTCCACCTTCAAGAAATTCAAGACATTGTGGGCTCTGACGCCCTGTACGAGGCTCAGCACTGGTTGAAAGAGAAGAGAATATCTCAACAACAGCACTGTCAGTGCCCAGGAAATTGCCAGGGTTCGCTGTGTTGCCCAGACAGCCCTAGATAATGAATAGCAACCCCTCCCTTGGCAGCGCAATCACAATTTCAATCAATTTCAATCAATCAATCAATCAATCAATCAATCAATCAATCAATCAATCAGTTTCCTTGGGAAATCACAGTCACAGATGAAAACATTTGTTAAAACATCTATTGAGCCACTGTGATGGACTACACAAGGAAGAACCATGTGCTTTATTGCCGTCATCCCCGTAACATTGTTTTTATTTTGCTTTTGGTAGCCTTTTCTTTTGCACTTCTAAACAAAATTTGTTTGTAAATAGGGCGTGATCAAAATGGAGTACCACCCACATCGCAGACCTCATCTGTTGGATGGAAATACTGTCACTTTGGTATCTGACTACAGAAGCTTAGACCAATTTAGGACTAAAAGTGTTTTGTTCCTAATTAAAAAGAGAGGTAAAAGATTTAATCAGTCATTTGATTGTTTGAATTTCCTGAAATTATTAGAAGTGACATACATGGATCTATAAATGTCATGTACAATTTTACTGATAGAATAACAAAATGTGCTAATTTAATACAAGAACAAATCCATCTACAGTGGGCCATGATATACATGGCTTATTAACCACTCAAGGATCACTAAAGATACTGTGCTAGTAATTATACAGGGTTAAAATACATTGACTATTACCTGCAGTTAGTGCAGTCAATGTAGTAAATAATTAGTCTGATAGAAATCCCAACATAAATGCTCGAAAGAAAAGAACATAGTTAATTACTTGCATGCCTTAATCTGTATCAAACATGTATTTGTTTAAGATAATAGTTTTCAATTCTCAAGTGTAAAAATGTGAACTTAGAATGTATACTCATTGGAATTGGATGCTTGTCAAGGAACAGTTCTGATGAGATTTTTCAAAGTGCCTGGACCTGTGTTGTGGTTTGTCCAATTTTATCTGCTGTTTATGTGCCCGAGGCTAAAAGACCAAGATGTCATGTACCAAGAGGATTTTAGTGCAGAAAGAGCAAGAGGTTCTGTTTTAGTGTTGCACTGAACTTGACTTCCACTTGAAGATGGACATGTGAGTTTCAGGGTTTGGGATTACAGCTGCAAGTTAAGACTTACATTGGGGAGAAACTTAGAAAGTCTGCTCACCCATATTTTGTTGCTGCTAGGATGAATATTCTCTGATATTCAGTGGTGTCGACAAATGCCCAGCTGTATTATTTGGGTAATCGAATTTACAGTTGGAAGTTCATCACAGAACGTCTCTTGTTGCAGAGGAAGTGTTGAGCAGAGTTCTGGTTTATTTACAATCTGTCAAAGCAGCAGAAACTTTCCACTTTCAGTAACTTTTGTTTCAGTTGCAGTTTGGATGAATATGGTTGCAGTCAGCCACGTGATTAGTTTTGCTGTCAAGTTGCCAGGGATCATTGCTAATCCAGATGAGGTGGATGTGCAAATAAACAGCTTTTTAAAAAAAAATCTTACGCTGATGGGGAAACTAATTATCAAAATACAAAATGAAAATCTTAGGTTTCTTGACAGTGTTCTGGCCTATAGCATTAAATAATCTATATCATACTGTAGGCCTTGAGGAAAGAACCTACCCTTTTAAAGAGATCAACCAATTCAATCCCAAAGGAGTGGCTACATATTAGGTATAGCAGAATGGTTGCTGTGACTCATTGTAAAAGTATAAAGAGAAGATGGATGAAACTTACAAATCCAAATTTTTCCAATTTTAAAATTTGAACTGATCTAATTTAGTTCTGATGCTCGGGCTTACAGTTGTTAAGCACAGCTGACAGCACTCTTATTGTGCAGTAGTTATGTGGCTAGTGCCACAAAGTGACAATGTAAAAACTACAGAGGAATCGTTGTTTCGTCCATCACAGGAAAGATCACACTAAGAACCTTCTTCCCTTTCTACCTGCTTAACTCTCAGTTTGGGTTTAGGCCACCCAGAGACTCAACGGGCATGATTGTCAGATTTCCAGCTACAGGAAAAAATGTAGGGGAAAACATACACTCTCTATATGAACTAACAAACGTCTTTCACTCCATTAATTAGAAGAATTCCACATAGCATTCTGTAATGTCCTGTTCTTTGCCCGCTCCTTGACAATGTGCACTGATTCTAAACAATGCCCTGTTACAGTCCCCTTTAAAGTGAGTAAAGAGGTTTACTGTACATGGCACTGTCATTGCCCCAATGCTGTTTTCGATATTTCTTTCTGTGATGTTACATCTAACCTCCAAAAAGCTCCAAATTGAAATAGAGCTAAATTATCCAATGAAAGGCAAGGTATTTAACCTCAGCCCATTCTGATCCAGAAACCTAATCGAGCTTCATTATGCTGATAATGTACTGCAAGCGCAAACCAAACCAGATCTACTGGCAATTACCAGTTGCAACTATGGCATACAAGAAAATGGGATAGATACTTTATACTCGGAAGACTAAGGTCCACCATTAAAAACCTTTTATTGAGCCGTTCTCAGCTCCGGAAAGTGAGGTTCTTGTGGAGGCAGAGAAGAATGCTGAGCATTTTTTTATTCACACAGTTAACAGAGAAGACCCAACCTCATATATACAAAGGCTGCCTGAGGAAACAGATGTTTTAAGATTGTGGCATCAGGTCAGAATGGTCTATTGAGAAGTCACCCTACTCTGTCTCCACCCTACTGGAGCACAGATGTTCACGGCATGCAGAAGATGTCTCAGGTCATCACAGGAAAACCAACCAAAAACAACATGAGATGGAAGACCTGGACTGGCAGAAACAGTGTCTCTTAGACCAGATCAACCATCCAGGACCATTCATTCATCTCAGACTGCAGCAGGCTGTCTCCCCAGATTAAGCTCATCAGCCACTTCTAGATAATACAATTGTGGAAAACAGTGATCCGCAACCACAAGAGATGCTAAAACGATGAAATGATGAGATGTGGAGTATAATGACTTAATGTTTGCTCTGTATGACTCCCTATGGTACGTCACCTTGTGTAAAGTTTAGACTTTGACAAATGAGTGAAAATGTGGATTGTATAATGCAATGAGACTCTGATCCAATTAATGCATCTTCATAAACATATTTTTTGAGATATCAAATGCACCTGGCTTGTTTCATGCTTCTTTGTGGCAAGGAGGTAAAAATTATGATGCAGAGACAGTACCATATATTAATATCCTTAAAATAACCATGCTCTAATACTTAATATAATGGCATCAAAATGTAAGACAGCAAGAACTTGTTTTTGCTGACCTTTTAACAGCTACAGATGACAATGGCTTTGAAATTCATTTTTCTGATGAGTAAGTCACTTCATCGAAGACTTAAGTGTTTTTGTAATGTTGAAAGATTGTTTTATAACTGAGGTTTATACCCAATCTTGAATTCAACTCATTATTTTTTTATTCTGCATAGTTTAATTGAAATGAGCATTTTTTGGTTTTCTGGAAACAAAATGTCTAACTCACTTATGAGTAAATATGTTCCTAAACATGTTTTTTAATTAGAATTCTATTAATCCGTCTTTTACAATCATCATTGCCATTGAAGCACAGATGACAAGATGCATATATAGATGAAATAAGGGCTAATTATCAATTGAATCGTTGGTAACATGCTGTTCCAATTTTATTTTTACAAATTTAATTTTAAACAGCATTTCTACTGCAAAGATCTTTGAAAATCATTTTTTTTCAAGTAATTTTGTATGTACAGTATATAAACTTACTAGCTCAAAGCAACACATTTTTAAAGTTATGTAAAGAATGTTTGGCGCACAGCAAGAGTGGATAAAAAATATCATGTACAGTACACTTGCATAATGCACATACAGTAGGTGTTACGGAAAGATGTGAAATCTCCAGGCCTGAACCTGAAGATCCCAGATAGTTATTCTTATGCTATAGGTCACCTGTTGATAAAGATTGGTAAGACAATTCGTAGCAGTTTGCTCAAATAAGTGAACCTGATTTTTCAGGACTGACTTATTTTTAAGATTTTGGTCCTAAATTTGTTCTTAGTTTACTTAATGTACCAGATAGCTTTTTAAATTGGTCATTATAATGGTATGCCATATCTTTAGAAACTTTAACAAAGATAGAGAACACGTGATCCCCAGTTCTAATATGACAGTGAATTATAACCATAACTGGTTTTCAAAAACATTGAAAAATTCTAATTTTCTATAAATTAGAAATATTAATTGGGTGAGTTTATCCTCAGATGGGTCACTTACTTTTCAGTTTGATGGAATAAGCTGAGAAGAAGGTGATTTTTAATTTTTTTCTTTTCCTGTCCTGAACTACAGTATGGTTTTGTTTCATTATTTACATCTGTGTTACTTTGGAAGTAAACAGGTAGAGAAAACTAACATTGTAAATGGGACATACAGTAAACAGTTAACATTCTTGAATTATTCACTCTAAATGATGATTCTAAACATACAGTATCACATTGGCGTTGAGGTGAATTACCTCCTGGTTGCTTTTGTGCAGTCTTACCATTAAATATATTTAAAAAAAAAACAAACAATACATCAAAGAATTGAAAACAACAAGTAAATAAGTCAATGCTCAAGTCTTTGTGCTTTACAGAATGATGCCATCCTGACAGACCGCTTCATGGACTACATTCGCCAGAAGACCCAGGGACAGGGGAAGCCCTCGCCACCCAAGTTCTCCGCTGCATCCTTGTTCCAGCCTGGATACCCCGACCCGCTCCCCCCAGCGAAGTCCTTCTCTCCTTACGCTCACCAGGGACCCCCAGCTCCGCATGGAACAGGGCCTTTCCAGGGCCCACAGCCGGACAAGAGCAAGGTTCTCGTTGCCGCTCTGGAGGGGTACCTGGCCAAGAAGTTATCGGCCAAGCAGCCAGAAGCGGGGAGACTGGAGGGAAAGCCGGGGTCATTGGTTTACAGCGGCAAGCTCCGTCCCTTCTTGACCGGCCGGGTGGAAAGCATTGGCCCTCAGGAAGAGGCGTATAAAGGGAAAGTGCCGTTCCGGCTGGCGCCAGAAGGAGAACTGCAGAAGCCCCAGACAGATAGGCTGCTCTTCAAAGCCGTGTCCAACCCGCCTGTGGCAAAAGACCCGCTGAGTTTAGTGGATGGTAATGTTGTGGCTTAAAGGATGTTTTTTTTTTTCTCTGGCAAAAGAAGGGAAACTAACCAATGGTCTTGCTTCATGCCGTTAAATTAAAAAAAAAAACAAATGAATCATGAAAAACGCTTAACAGGAACTGCTGTAAGGAAAATTTCTAATATAGGATTATAAGTCAGATATACAGTATATAATTGTTTCATGTATATTTAATTAGTATTTCTAAAACATTTTGTGAGCTGAGAATTCATACATTTTTAAAAGGCCTTAATACTTAACTTATTTCTGTTTAATAAGCATTCCTAAATTGTAAAAATCTGATTTTAGTTAATAACCTTACAATTCAACATACTGTAGGTAGTGGTCAGTTCCTGCCAAGGTATTAATACTGTTAATGTCAGGTTACAATGTTTGAAATGATTTGTTAGAACTAATTCAATTTACAACACTTACAAGACCAAATGGGGTCTTCTTAAAACGTGAAGACAACAGTAAATCAATTGCTGTACATCTGTTTTTTTAGTTTTAACATTTACCTCACCAAGAGAACATGCCGTCTTTGTCCTTCACTAGCTTGAATAGATACTGTGGTATGGCCACTCTTTATTTCACTTACTGTACGGTCATGTTATTTCAAGACCATCCTAGAGTACATGCACTTTATCCTTCCATGTCCTTGCACCTTCTTGTACTGTACTGTACCTGTACCTCCATCAATATCTGATCAGGTTCCAAACAAAAGACCAAGGGTTGTATATACAGTAACACACCCTTTAATGTATAATGCCTCAACGACTATAGAAAATGAGTGCACATAATTGAGCTAGTGTAAACTTTCGATTGGACCTCAATAGTCTCACAAGGTCTGGGAGTGTTAGCACCCAGTGACCTACAGAACATATGTCCAGATCAGTAAACCCTGTACAGACCATTTACTTTACTATAATTGGAGTAACTATGGTGTTCATCACTAAATACAGTATATCTGGTGGCTAAGGAGCCACCTGGCCTCTTAAGCATCGCTCTCTTTATGGTAACACATTTAATTCACCCTAACCCTCTAAAGAACTAGTCATTTCTTCTCCACAATGCCAGGCTGAGCTCAAGTGTAGGACTGGGTGTTCCTACCCATCCACAAGGTGAAATATACTGCTCCAAGTCCAACTGCGGATGGGAAATTAGCTTTCTTCGAAAATCAGGATTGATTAGCACCGTTTAATACAAAGAACATCTTTGAAGTTTTGGAAAGGTTTCTTGGCTTCCAGTGTCTACTTCAACATGAGCTTTTTTTGCGTGTCGATAAGGAGAATAGCAGTTGTTGCAGAAAACTTGGATGAAGTTTGTCTGCAAAGCCTGGAGAGGCCCTGATGGTTATTCGCTCTAGCCCTTAATTCATTGTGCAGGTCATAAATACCCAGAGGCTAATCTCTTCACTGACTATCCAAGACAATGTTTAATCAATTAATTTACCGTTGTTTTCTTGCTTTCTACTCGTAAGCCTTAAGTCTTACTTTCACCATTCAACATGTCAGGTTTCAAACAAACCTATTCCCACTCAGGCCTCTTTGTAAAGTATATCCCTTCTATTTCTTTGTCCCAGATTTTCTTTCAGGAGTTAGAACTAGAATAGAGCTAGAGCAATGCGTACTACTGTATACTGTATATAGTACTGGTGGCAGGTTTCGGTGCGACAGAAGGATTATTTCAACAGGTTTGTTCCATTTTTGATCCCCCCCCACAGAAAACTTCATTCAGAACGTGGTGAAGGAGTTGGGGAAGCACAACGTGAACGTGGACGGTCTCAGCCCCAAGGAGCTGGATGAACTGGCCGATGTCATTGCTGACACTTTACAGGTGGTGGATGAAGACAAAGGAAGGGACAAGGAAGACAGCCGAGACCAGCGAGACATGAAGAGAGGGCCTGCTCCTAGACTCCTGCAGTACCAGGAGGACATTCTGGGGGAGGACGCCATGATGCAAGGTACAGCATGTGATTGCAATTAAGCAAGAGAAACACCCCTGGAAGAAATGCGTTTTGAGTTCTGATTGATGTTTAAGAGCTCATATTTGAGTCAGGTGGAATTGCTTTTTGAAGTACATTAGAGTGATGAAGCAGCAAGTAGGTACAGTATAGTAAAAAGGCTTCTAGAATGTCACTATCCACTCAGAGAAGCAGATTTATACACTAATTGCACGAGCGATAATTAAATTCTTCAGCAATTCATTGAGTTTAATTTTGTGAAAAGGACAGTTCTCAAAATGTACTTCAAAAAATCTTTTAGCAGAAAAAAATGTTTACTATACATGGGGCCCTTCATTTTTGGTGTTTATTTCTTGGCTGTCTTCCAGCATTTAAAGCAGCAATCAGCTGTAATTAAAGCTTTTAATGTAGCACTGTCTATTAATTGCAAAAGAAGATGAAGTACTGTGTTTCTGCGTCAAGTCTTAAAGATTGGATTGAGGCTTCGTTGTCGCACCTGTTTGATAAAATAAAAATGTGACAATTACTTTGTGTTAAACTAATGAACAATATACAGTACAAAATATACTGCATGTGTCTTGTAGAAGACAGTCAATTACACAACACAGTTTTTAGAAGACCAATTACTTTTATTAACACCTGAAACAATGACTTTTTCTGTGCATCACCAGAACTGCACACGCTCATTCACAAAATAGAGCAAAAGCTAACAGAACTCCACCGTGAAAAATAACTTTCTCTGAAATTATTTTAGGGACAGTATTCACTAAATCTTTTTAAAGGCTGAAACTTAGGATCTAAAACAGAATATAAACGCTTTTCAGTTTTAGTGTGAAACAAAATAACCCTTATTAAAAATTTATACCTGAAATGTAAGGTAAGAAGATTGATACAGTACATTGTGTGAATTTTAAATAAACTGGAACTTATGCATTCAATCAAGTTTAAAATACAACACTAATAACTGTATGCTTTAGAAATTGAAATGGTATATAATGGCATATGTTGTTATATACAGTATATGTAAAGTATATACAGTAAATAGGTAAAGTATTTGCCTTCTTTAATCATTATCTCTGCAAATGTAATTATTTTCTTTATAAACTCCCACAAGTGATGTCATGCCTAGGAACACATCCTTGATATACAATATTTTACACTTTGATCTTAGAATGGCTCTTCAGGTTAAAGTAAAACTACTAAAAAGTAAAAATAGTTTAGTTGTGAGCTGAGCCCGTTTTATAACTGTTCTTAATACATGTCTGTGTCCTGTCTTATGGTCTGCAAGTATTTCTTTTTGTATGTTTCTATACTGTATCTGTATCTATGTCAGTGTTATTGTGGTGCTGCTCTTTTAAAACATGTTTGTTACTTTTTAATTTCTGAACGCTCTTGTTAACGTTTTTGGCTAAATCTATTGAGCAAACAAAAAATTTACATTTTGACTTAATACTGTATGTGTTTTTACCTGGGACACTCAGTAGTCACAATGAACTATTAATAGAAGAGCATAGATATATTATTCTACCTTGCTGTATTTCTATCTTGTATTACATGTTCTGTCCTTGCTTGTACAAAATGCTCCTTTATCATACAGGGCTTTCACCCCTTTAGGCTCTTTGAAGTAGTTTTAGTTATCAAACTTAATAGTTCAATATAAAATTCAATACAAGATTGTGTATTGAATACTGTGTGGAGATGAACGATATCTACAATACCTAAGAGGCTATTTCAGAATCAATAGAAAATGTGATGCTCAGATTAATTTTTTATTTTCTGGACTTCAAGTGAAATCTATACTGATCAGAGTTTAGTGGTACATAACAAGATATTAAGGGTACAGTAATTCATTTTACAAAGAAATCGAGCATATTGTGGTAAGGGGATGAGGCAAAAGATAATTTTCCAATAGGCAGTTAGGGACGATTAGAGTGGCTTGGGAACAACAAAAAGTTGGTGGAAATTAGCCCTGGATGAATGGACACCTGTGAGCAGGTAATCTGCCACCTTAGGAAGACTGAGATGTGCATATCCAATCTATTAGAAGCAACTAAAAATAGAAAGACCTTATTTAAATGTGGTTTAGAGATTTTGATCCTAACCTAAAAAAACACATACTGATTTTGGTTTATGTTGGTGGGTAAACAGTTTGCCACAGGGGAGAAAGGCGACAAAATTGTCTCTCCATGTGGCTTTCATTCAGCTGATTCTGGTTTATTATGTATTCCACCAGTTTGTCTGACACTGTGGGTGACCGGACATGTTGTACAAGCTTATAAATCTAGCCTAAAAAGTTTTTCAGAAGCTTTTTCAGGCTTTGTTGTGATCTGTATCTCCGATATATGATTTGTAATTTTGTTTTGTGAGAAGTGTTTACTTACTGGATGTATTGTAAAGTGCTTTGAAAGGTGCTATATGCAGTTACAGTTTCCTGTTGATGTTGAATTCTGTCCAGAACACAGCTTAGACATTATTATGTGTAATAATTGTTAATTATCTAAGAGATGGGCTACATTGTTAGTTGACAGTGACTGGGATTAAAGAGATAGAATATCTTTGGGGATAACACCACAGTTGTTGCTAAGTGGGTGTGAATTCAGCAGAGAAGCTGAATTCAGCTGTGAAACTACAACAACCATCCCATTGGCAGGCTTGGTCTCCATCAAAGGGATAAGGACAGTTTTTCTTTTAGATAAGGACAGTTTTTCTTTTACTGGTACTTTAGCTCAGTTGTTTGTGCAGCAGTGTTACCCAGAACCACGTGTCCTGACAAAGCATGTTCTGCCACTGAGTCTCTTTCCTTCTGTTGATATGGGTAGTGGTTAAGCCCAGCTTTCCTGGAAATGCCAATTCCAGATTCGGAAGATAAAAAAAGTGTTGATTGAATAGTTAGAACACCGATAGCCTGGTCCGTATGCAATGTAGAATACTTTCCAAACAAAAAATAAAAGAGTAGTGAAAGTAAGCATTGCATAAAAATAAAAAAACTGTCTAGTAAATTGAGCCTTGCTGCCAAACAGATCACCTGAGTAAATGCAGAGTATAATTCCCGTTTTAGTCTAGTACCCAACTCAGTTTATTACAGGTCAAGCCAATCTGTGCCCTTTGTTCTCTTTGATTTGTAATATTTCTAAAAAATGGTTGATGCGTCTTTCAATTTGAAGGGTAAATAACATTTTTATTTTTTGGCAGAGAGACAACTAGATGAAGCCAAGCCAGACTCAAACGACAAGGTATTTTACGGAAATCTTTTACCTGCTTTTGAGTAAAAATTAAGGATTGCATGACAGTTGGCATGATGGTGCTACTGCTCACAGCTCCAAGGTTCCTGTATTTATTCCTTTGCTGGGGTACATGCTGTGCAGATTGTTGTCCCCATGTACAGTATGCTTGTTTGTTCTTGATACTCTTTTCCCCCTCTTCCTAGAGCTGTGCTTTTAGGCTGTTTGGCTATACTGCAAAATTGTCTGTTCCATGAGGAGCTGAATTGGGGCCCTCCTCATTAGTTCACCTTGTCTTAGCTTTGCTAAGTTCTTAAAACTGAAAGCATATAATACAAACAGATTAGAAAGCAATAGCTTTGAAGTAAATGGAAGGGTCGTTGAAGGGAGAACCCTAGTTCTTTTTGCATGCTTTTAAAATAGTGAAGTTTGTCACCATTTGTAAATTAACCGTTAGTGAAAATACATTATTCTACTCCATTGTTAGGTAGGAAATAAATGTGATTTGAGCTCATCTTCGTTTTTCAATTGTTATTTTGTTGTGATCTCAACTAGTTAAATGGCATCTATGTGTTTTAAGCACATTTTTTTTTTAGTTTTTCAGCAGATCAAGAAAGAAGTTACATTACATTGATTCCTATTTTCAACAGTATGTCAAATTAAAGAACCTTGTCCACTTGAGATTTCTGTAAAAAGCATGTTTTTCTCCTACAGTATTCTGATACTTTCAAAGCTTCCTCATGTCCAGTGTTGTGCTTCTCACCATTAAGTTGGAGTGTTTTATGTCACACGAATGACAGTACTGTGTGGCCATATTTTTAATATTTTAGAGACGAGATACTGAATTCAATATTTATGTTGTATGCCTCACATTTTAAAAACATTTTGAAAACCTTTATATTCCCCTTTTGTGATGCATGCAATATTGGGCTAAGAATGTACTGTCACTTTAACAAATTGTCACATACTGTACAGTATAAAAATTGCATTTTTTAAAGCTGTATATCACAGAAATTTCTCAGGATGCTATGTTAACAAGCCATGTAGACAATTTTTTAACGCATTTCTCTAACTGTGAAAACATTGGGTGCCTGCTTTCTGTTTTTAAAGTAAGCATTATAGAAAATGCTGTGTCAAAGTGTTGTTTTTTTAAAAGGAGTTTCAAGTGACCCACTCATTAAAGATATAAAAGTTAAATACTAAATACAGACGTTGTAATCCTTGTTAATCGGGGAATTGAGTGTGCATTTCAATTACTTGTTTTTTTTATTACACTATAGGATAGTAATGCAGTCAACAAACTTCTCGAATACCTGGACAAGAATTCCATGACTGAAAGCCCCCCCAGACTGGATGTCCAGACTGAAGACGGGAAATTGAAGGCACGCGGGAGATCCGAAGCCTTCGAGGAATCTTCTACCGATGAGAAAGGAGTCGGGGTAGAAAACGTGAAGAGCAAGACCATTCTGAAGGAGTTGGCTGCCCAGAAGAAGGCAGCCCGGCCGGCGGAGGTGGATTCCAAGGAGCTGTCTGAGCTACACGACTGGGTTCGTAATGCCAAGGCCCCGAGCGCGGCTGTCCATGTGGAGCCTGAGAAAAAAGGCGTGCAGTTCGAGGAGGAGGAAGAGGAGCTCCAGCTTGATGTGAAGTCAAGGACAAAACCTAAGAAGGAGGAGGAATATGGCTATGTGGTAACAGACTCGGAGTAAGTGATTGTTTGTGTCTTCTGTTTGTTAGAGGGGGGTGAAATTTCAGTTCAAACTTCAGTGTACCACCTAAGAGATACAGTCTGAATACGTTTGGAAGGCATTGTGTATGTTCCTACTATTACCAATGATATTATTCATAATGATCAAAAGCTTACACCTTTTCCTCCCAAAGGATCCCAAATTGCGTCACATGTACTGTATTTTCTGTGTGGTTTGTGGAATGTCTGGAGCTAATATTATCTCCTTTTTTTCCACGCTTTTTGGTAGTGATTATATGTTCAGACTACAGTATATACAGTACAGTAAATGTGTGGCTTTATTTTTTTTCTAGTTACATGGTTCTTGGTAGCACAAGGACCTCTTCTGCTTGCTGATCACAGAAGGCAAGGACTGTCCTGGTTTTGGTCCTTTACAAAAAAAAAAAAGCACTGTCTGTGATGTTAAGCTGAAGTTGAGGGGCAATTTTCTTTTAAATTGTTAATGGCAAAACAAATCCATCCAAAATCTTAATGGGGGACTCTGGGAGAAAACAAGTCTGCTCACAAAGGTTAGCAGATGAAAAAACAAACTGCCAAGTCATATTTGGATCCTGAGTATTCAAACAGTGCCTCAGTGGAGTTCTAGGATCATTAAGCTGCTGACTACTTTATAATAAAAAAGAGCTGAACAGTCTCCTCTCATAATATTTCTTATCTTCTTATATGCTTTCTAGTCTTTCCATTTTTACTACCTGCTACAGAATGCTATTACTTCTTATGTTTGTGAAGTCTGCAGTGAAACAATATTGGGTGAAATTTAACTCACTAAGTGAGGCAAGTCACAGGGTCCTAAAGAGCAGTTATAGTAGCTCCAGAGATTCCACTCTACTAATTTGATTTTCTACGGTAGTTTTCTTTCAAGTAATGGTTCCTTTTGATTTTGAATGATGACATCAAATGTTGTTTATATGGTCATGTCTTTGCTGCATAAGCCAATTCTGTTATGATGCTGTAAAAAAAAAAACATTGATAAATATTCACCAGTGTTCAGATAACATAATAGACTCTTCTGTTACTTTTTCTGGTTTGGCATTGTGCATTTGGACCTTAATCCAGTGCTTAGATGGGAGTGATTCTTTTATAATGGAAGAAAGGAGGGCAAAAATAAACCTTTGTATGACAGCCAATCTATCCCCTTGGCATTGATGTTTTCTGAGTGCCATGGGATTACTAACAGTCTACACTGCCAATTGATTTTTCTGTCTGTTTAGAAGCAGCGCTGGGCTCAGGCACAGTGCCCATGTGCTGATGAATCGAGGAGTAGAGGGTGATCCCGTGTGATCAAACCTCTGATCTTTTAGGCCCTGAGGGGAAACTGTCTATCTGCTGAGAAGCTAACCTTGGCTTCCTTGAAGAAAATGTTGTTTTTTTTTAAACTTTATCAAATAAAACTGAGGCAGGGCAAAACCTGAGAGGGTATGTTCTGCTCCGAGTTAGATTACCACATTTTTTAAAGACTTAAACTTTGCAATTCCAGAATCGTGTGGATCTAGTGCTGACAAATGCACAGCATATCTACTGTTCAATGCATATGATTATAGGGCTTCATAAAAAAGGTTGTCAGGAGAGTGATTTCCTTAGCTTTTTGTGCGATTGAATGAGAAGATGGTCTCCATGTAATATTTTAGCAGGAAATAGTGTACTGTAGGGTTTGGAAATATACATTATATACAGAATTGTGTTTTCTGATTATAGCTTTCATGACAAATAGTTCAAACTAAAGAAATTAATAAAAAATAATATACTGTATAATACTAATTGTTTTGGACATATACATTTTCATTGCAGAATTTAGTTTAGAACCATACTTTGCAGATTTGTTTTTTGATAATTGAACAGTTCCAGCTCCAATTCGCCCCAGTCCTGACCTCTTAGAGAGTTCTGAAGCATGGTTGACACATTATTACCAGTAAGCTTAGCAAAAAACAAATACGCATAGAAAAGCTTCAAAAATCATTCTTCATCTTCAGCTAGAAAGGGAAAAATTGATTTTTTAAAAGTATACTAAATAACTGTGAACATTACTAAAGTCACTTGCTTACTTACTGATATGTTACATTTTAGGTTAGCATGGAAAGCAAATTTAGAATAAAGGCATAAATACCAAAACCAATACCATCCTCTTCAGCGTAAATACTAAGCATCAAAAGTTGTGTATCCTTACTAGTAACCCTAGTCTTTAACTGATGTCTCCTCACAACATTGTTTTACCTTCATTGCCTTAAAAAAACCTTCACAGTGTTATCTGGGAAGCTGTCAGCTTGTTGTCCTTCAACTGTTTAACGGCATGGAGCTACAGTATGCTTTGTTCCTCTGCTGCTGGGAAATGATTTTATAGATGCCAGACTTGTTTAAAGAGAGGAACAGGTCACCTTCTAGTCAGACTTTTCTAGACTACAGATCAGCATAAGAAAACTGCTGTGATCTACAGTACTTAAATATAGAAGCAGGGCCTAGTCATTGCACGATTATTTTGGGGCCTTTTGGAGATGTTACAGTAATCTGTTAATCTAAATTCTCTCAGAGAAAAGGGGATGCAGAATCGAAGGGAAAACCACATTCTATCACTAGCAAAGAAATCAATTTGTAATGAAGCATTTAAACCCATGCATACATTAGTCTTGATTTTTCTCGCAGTGTCCTTTTCCTGGATTGGAAAAAAGTTTGTTTTAAGCAAATATCAAAAAGGTCAAAGCTTCTGACTTTTGTTAGTTAGTATATAGAGCCACCATATGAAATGGAACAGCATTGGCAAAAAGAAAGTATGTACTGTACATGACACAATACTTTACTCCAGACAGACGGAAACCCCATGTGACTTAGTGCAGTCTGTGAGGCCTGGTGTGGGCATTTATCCAGTAGGCTGATGTGTACAGCATTCAAATATACACTTTTGTTTTGGGGATGCACATTTTAGGATTTGGACCATGCTTTAGTTTTTCCTGTTAAAGTACTGTGCATTATATGAGTGCCATTGTCCTGACCTTGCATATTTTAGCGTAGGTCATGTCCCTATCTAACTGACTAGGATTCACTAGGGATTAGTACTTGAGGTGTTCTCTCAGGCTCCTGCAGGCATCAACCTCCTGGAGATTGCACAGAGCCCCTAACAAATCAAATGATGGATGGACAAGACATCGTTGAAAGTTTAAGATACAGAAATGAAAACTAATGGGTAATTCTAAATAAACCAAACCCAGTTAACTTCACACACATTGTATACTATGTGACTGCTAAACATTTCAAAATGTAGAGCCCCTTAGGATATACTGTACACTGGTAATCTACAGTATACAGTATATGCAAAAATATAACTAATGTGTCAAAACACATATTTGAATTAATCTTTAAGGGGAAGAAAAAAGCGTTCCTTGACTCTACAGTCATTCAGGCTGTGTAGGTCTGATTTATACCTGAACTGCTTTTTGAACTATTCAGTGTTTTAATTAGCCAAAAGTTTTTGTTTTAGCTCCAATTAAAATGAGAAATGGAAATCCCGAGACTGAGTTGATGAACACTGTTGTAAATCGAATTTACTGTATATGCATCATACTGTAATTGCATGCAACGAGTTCCTGTGACAGAAAAAAAAGCCATAGTCAGTCAATCACTCTACAGTTTAGGGTAGAAGTTGAAAGCTTTAAATAAAGAGTTGGAAATCATACCATTTTTTAAAAAGTTTTTATGACAAATAGTTAATGGCAGTAAAGAGCTGGGATACAATCATGACACAATCATGATACAATCATGACCCAACTTTCACCAGAAAAGGAGAGGTCATACTTTCTGTTTCCACTTTGGCCTATCTTGAGTCAGTAATGAAGCAGAAGAATAATACTGTCAGTCCTAAGCCTGAGACAGAAATGACAGTTTCTGAAGGTGCAATCTGAAGGTGGCAAGTCTCTCAGGTGCTGTATCAGCAGTTTCTTAAGAGAAGAAACCACTTAAAATGGCCCACTTCCTGTGTTTAAAATAAAGGCTTCTCCACCTAGATTCACTCCCATTGACAGATAAAGGTGAGATTTTTTTATGTCTTAATGAAAAACATTTTGGCATTGTACAGTATGTCTAATGTTTAGATATAGTCAGTATTACTTTTCATCTGTTAGGTCAAACTTGTTGAGAAGTGCTCACATTATTGTACACCTTTCTTTGTTTTTGTTGTGACCAATGTATTCGATTCTAAGCTTTGCTGCACTCTTAATACTGCTACCCACTCTCTCCTACTGACCTTCACAGTATCAGGCAATGAATGGATTTTGTAGGGTGTTGTATAACATTGTTAGAAGCGGAATCTTTTTCACATTAACAGCTTTACCTTTCACACCTCCGTTGAAGCAAGAAACAGATGATGTGTGGAGGGTGAAGAAGTGTATTTGTGTCTGCTGTGAGAGCTACAGCAGACACAAAATTATATAAATCCCATGAATTGTACATTTGAAATGTATTCTAGCCATTACCAAATCATTTCTTACAGCCATAAATGTATTCCACAGATTGTTTAAATTTAGCTTAAAATGAATATGTAAACAGAATCTTAGTAGCTAGCTAGGGAGGTTTTTTGTTTTTTTGCAGATTTCTCTAATGGATTTTTCGTTTTGTAAAGATGTTCGTATGTTTTTAATATGTGTGTTCCTCACTTTAAAGTTTTTCTTGCATTCTTCAGTGTAGTGTCGCCCAATGCCTCTGTCTGGTAATATAATGTGTTCTGCTCAAGGATTAGTACTAATTAGGCTTTGTTAATCTACCGGCAAAACAAACTGATTTATTAAAAACAGTTATGATGAATAGAGAGCATAATTTGAGAACTCATGCTAACTGTACTTTAATCAACCAGTATCCACGAGTCCCTATTTTTAAAAACTTTTTACAGGTACAGTATGTGTTTTTCTGGTTTTACTGACATTTTGTGATTCCAGTGAAAATGGTTCTGTAATATTATTATACAGTACATTCACATGTTGCATTTTAGCATTAATGCTTTATTATCGCTGCAGAATCCTCTTTATTGGGCATATATTGTATTTTAAGATTCATGTTTGTATAACCATTTACGTTGTTTTTAGTGTTTTTTTTCTTACCAATGCATTTTCAACAATCTTCAATATCTTCAAACATACTGTAATTATTTTGTTTTAAGCATCTTAACCTTGATAGAGAACATCCTTGCCTTTCTCCAGTATATTGCAAGGTTTTGTAGTTCAGCACTTACTGTAAATGGCTTTTTGCTGCAGCATTTGCTTTATCTAATTCATTTTATTCTGTGGTGCATTTTCTAAGCATGTCAACCAATAACAGGGTTTTAGCCGCAACAAAAAAAGCAAAAAAAAAAAAAACCTGTTGCCAGCTTTCTATTTTATAAAAGTAATGTGTTTTCTGGAGAAGGCCATTGTTTGGCCTATTTATACAGGTTCCAATAATTTGCCACTCGAGGTTCTGGGTGGATTTTTAGTTGGAAACAGGACAGAGATGAACCCCAGCTGTATCATAGAACCATTACACTTCGTAACAATTCCATTTGCACCTTATTGTTTGTCTTATTGCTGGAAAATTCAGGTGATTCATCATGCCTGGAGAAGCACCTGATCCCAATTCCCTCGGCATACAGCTCAGTATGTGACAAGAATGTAATGTCTCTCTGCTTACAGACTCTAACAGGCCAAGGTGACAACTCTTTTGGGACCTCTGGCCTGGCAAGTATTGATGAATTCCATTTTTAAAGCTATCGCTTTGCCTCTTTTCAACAGGGCTCTGACCACAGACCAGGGGCTGCACTTAATGGAGGTTTTGGCACGGCAGGTCAAGTTGCAGATGGCGGATTTTGATGACGTCGAGTAAGTATTCTGGCGTTACGTGGTTCTCTGCAAGTCACTGTACAAAGCGCCGCGTTCCTTTGCGTAAAAATGACAGAATCAACCTGGAGCACACTCTTTCACCTCCAAAATGATTTATTAACGCTGCTCAACATTTCAGCAAACACAATATTTCCTCAACACAAACATCTTTGGGTAGGCAGAAATCCTACACTATACAGTATAAGCAAAAGTTTTAATTGTTGGCATTCAACGTGAGAGGAGGTCTCGTTTTTTAAAAGGAGGTAGTTCTTGTTTTAAACGGATGTCCTTTTTTAAACTTCAATATTTTTAAGTTTAGCAAAGATTAGATATTCTTTTAGTATGGAGCTTTGATGAGACGTTTTGGGGACAAGTAATCAATGATGAAATATATTTAGGAATCTTTCAGACTACAGCAAGACACTATTATTTGAAGGTCTCAGAAATGTTTTTTTGTAAAATTTGAAATTGTGTGTATTCTTCGTAAACGCACCAAATGTAGAATATCCATTTTGTCTGTTTATCATGTTTATCATGCCTCAGCGTGCTTCTATGAACAGCAGCTGCACACGGGAAAGAATGATGAAGCCTCTGATAGACTCAGCTTCATGTTTCAACACATCACAGGCACCAAAGTCCAGTATTGGACGAAAGACGCATCCCTTACCAAAAGTATTACATTGCTTGGGACCAAGAGTCTTTCCTTTGGTGGCTCTTGGCCTATTATGCACACTTGTTTGGAAAAATCCCATCATCTTTAATGTAGCCCACAACATTTGATCTGGCATTAGGTTCCTTCGATCTTGAATCTTAGCAGATTCATCATTTCTTTGTGATTAGATTTCCATTCTCTTACTTAAAATGCTTGTATTGTTTTGATAGGGGTAAACTCAATAAATGGAGGAGTCCAGGTGAGAACTACGTGTTGTTGCAAGGGCAAATGTTTCTCACCGACTAGTACCTGCGAGCATGTGATGTGTGACATGGAGAATTGAACTGCTGAAACAGAACTTCAGGTCTTGGAATTCATTCCACCCTCAAACAAGAGTAGTTTACCAACCCCAACTGATGATGAAAGATCCCAGAATATAAAGCTTATATAATCAAATCTGACAGCTCAGACAATATATACAGGATGAAACACTAGGCCAGCTCTTGCTCACAAATCAATAAAAGTAATTATTTAGCGCCATGTTTGGCAGTTTAGGGGTATTACATGCCATTATTCCTTATCCTCTGGCTGTTTACTGACCTCATCATTTCTTTCTTATAACCCTTTCCTAATCCAAGGAAATTTCAGACACATTTTCAGATGCTATCCTGTTCCCATATTTCAAACCAGACTAATGCTTAATACATATTTTGCATTCTTTAAACCGCTCTTTGTATTTCAAAGTGAGCATATTGGAGATAAATGTATTCTGCTTTGAATGCATGTTGTTGAAATACCTGTTCATTTCTCTTCCCTGCGATAACAAACACTTGGTCTGTTGAAAGGATTTTAGGGCAGTTTGGAGTATTTATTGTTCTGCACTCGTCATATGGGAGACACTGGAATGAGCCAGGCTGTTTATATAAAAGGTTCTGCTTCAGTGCATTTTTTTGGCAGTTTTGCAAATTGCCTTTGAGCTGAAAAATATAAAATATTTTCAGATATACAGTACATTCGCCAGAGTTTGAAAACACAAATGTTTATATCCTGTGAGATACAGTATATTGTAAGTCCTGCAAAGAATTACACATCCAAAGAATTACATTAATTCCTGTTTGGTCAGTAACACAAAACTGTACTATTTGGCTGTGTTATTCATACCGATTTAGGCATCTGTTTCTAGAAAGAAACATCTAAGGATTTCTTATTCAGGACTGAGACACATGAATGAGTTTTACTGTTGCATAAGCACTAAATTACCTCATTAGTCACAGAGCTCACTGGACATAGGTGAAGAGGTGATTTAACATGTTGGATGTCATGCGTGGTGAAAAGAAAGATAAACACAGAAAGGAAGCATTAAGTTCCTCTTCTCAAGAGAAGTATGTCTTCATTCCAGGTTATCCCTGGTGGTCTTTCTAGCTGTAGAGCATACTCCTTCTTAGCTGTGAATCAAGGTTTTGTGTAGACCCAGTTTTTCCCAGCATTACTACAATGGTTACGTATGAGAAGTTCACCTATAATTTCATAAAATGTATGAAAATGATACAAACTGTGATATTTTCATGGCTGAGAAAAGCCTTGAGAATTTAACCTCTGAACATTCACTGAAATTATTTCAAAATATTTGTTTCAAGCATACAGTATCTGTCATGTGTTGAAATATTTGAGCATACAGTAAATGTGTGCCAGTGTAACTTTGTCATGCTTTCTGTGCTATACGGAATTAAGCAAAATTAAAAGAAATGTGTGTGAATAATTTTGGAATTTCACAAAATGTCACACCATCTGAAGGGCTTGAATACTTTCTGTATTTTTTAAAGAGTTTAAACATTTTTTGAAATTATGTACAGTAGTTGCTTATTTTTGTTTTTCTTTCCCTTGGATATAGAATATGTATAGGATAGGATATGCAGTGTACAGTATGTGAGTGGAACTCTGTGGGCTACCATTTATTTGTGGTTTTTATTTCACTTTTTTTAACTGTTCATTGCCAGGATTCTGACGCTCATCCGTTTTGTGTGTTCTCACAATTCAGTGTCTTTACTTGACAGTGTCTTTTTTAAAGACATTCACACTTTTTGTATATTGTGAGGATTATGTTTTGTCTTACAGAAAAATATTTTTACTGTATGCTGGAAATAAATAGTGAGAAGTAATTATATATACTGTATATGCATACCTATTAAGTATCACTATTATTGAAAATAGCACTACTGAGTAGCTGTAAAACAAGCTTTCTGTAATTGGCATCAAGTTAAGGAATAGTAAAACCTTAGATGTAAAAACAATGAAGTATGCTAATCGATGTTAAATATCAGTGATACTCTATAATTGCAAAATTACTACTTACTGTAAGCTCACGTGTGATGTCTGCACCAAACAGAATTTCAGTTGGGACCCATCGTCATAATTTTCTCATGTAAAAAGCATCTCTTTTAATTACTCTTAACATTTCATATACATTTTAAGTTGTCAGTAATTTCTCTGTGCTGTGATGTACAGTAGGTTTATCACTTCTGCAAAGTGCAAAATGTAAAGGTATCATTATGTTTTGTCAGTATATTTATAAATGCACTATTTCTTATGGTAATTTTTTGCTTTTATTTCTTATGATTGGATAAATCCGAGGTTTAATTTCTGGATTTAAGCTATTTCAAGTTGGCAAAATTAAACCTTTCTTACCATCTGTTTTTTTAAGATGTGAACTATAAAATGTTAGGAGTTTGGCATAAAAATACAAGAATCATTTTCAAAGTTTATTACATAATACCCTGGTAGTGTTTTGTTTGGCATGTTTTGTTTATTTTTATAAAGATCTAATATGGGTTATGAAACAGTACATTTTCAGCATAAAAAATGTGACTGTTTTGCTAATCAGACACGTTATAGGATTATTGTTAAAATATTAATAATGAATTGAATAATCTTCAAGCTCAGTCTATAATTAATTTTATTTCTCAGAATGTTGCCTGCTTGCAGAAATAATGACTACAGATATAAAACATTCAGTATAATCTCTCCTTAAATTGAAGAAGTACAATACCAAACATTTTGTAAGTTATAATAATAAATAGTTTGTAAGTTATTGTAAGCAGTGTTGTTAAGTAGCAGTATGAAGCTTACAGTACAGTATGTACCGAACTGTATGGGATCTTTTTCTCTCTTAAACATATTTTTCAAACATGCTGAAAAGAAAAGAGAGGGAAGCACAACGTTTCAGCTGTGGAGCCTTCTTTGGGTGTGAGAACTCTCGACTTCGCACCACCTAAATGCCCATTCTGCCTCCCCTGCTCCCACCTCCTGCCTTTTGTCCTCCTATGCTATATCAGCTGCTGACTTCTCTTTCTCACACCCAAAGAAGACTCCACAGCCGAAACGTTGTGCTTCCTTTCTTCTGTTTTCAGCATGGAATAAACCTTTACTTGTTCCCTTGCAGCCTACGGATGCTGATGCAGCTACCTACAGTACTTGAACTTTTTCAAACATTATGGCTTTTGCAGCACATTATTGTTTTCTCATGTATGGATTTTATTTTTCATGCGTATGTGTAATTTTCTTGCGATTCTAGAAAACACATAACTTTGCATGCAAACAAATTATTGACAAGTAGCCCCATGGAGTAGTAGCAGGAATTCTTTATTAATGACATTGAACTCTCCCTGAACTCCCTTCCACCCCCCCCCACCCCCGAAAATGTTAGATTCACCCTGTGGGTTTCTGGGCTGATTTCAGAAGGCGTGGGAGTGCATTGAAAGTATTAAGTCATAATGATATGGAGATTTAAAGGCATTCTTCACAAAGTGAAAGTTTCATCTCTGTAATTATTTTGTAACATGCAGTGCAGTGGCAGCTATCATGAACACACAAAAGAAGACTTTATTATATGCAGGGCACACACATTTATGCTGTATACAGTATTAGCAAAGATGTTTGCTGCTTAGTTTGTCAAAGGCTTCTTGACAGGCAGTGAGTGCTGTACTGCAGTACTGTACTGTACAGTTTCTTTGAGCTGGTGTGTCTCTTCATGGTTCAGAGTTCAGACGTGGTTGAGAGTTTCAGGCAGTGAAGATTACAATCAGCCATTGAAGATTAAATGTTTATTGTCTTTCAACCAAAGTCGATGTGCTCTGCTTGCCTTTAAGCTTTTACTGCTCGATCCCTGTGTTTCTCAGGCCTCCATTAGTCCTGCATTATCAGTATTTGCCTAATGTCTTCTTTTTCCATTTTCTAAGTCTCAAATACTACAAAATAATTTCCCTCTGTTAAAATGCAGAAACATGGCATTTTTTTTATTTTCCACTAATTTTCTTTTAACTCAAAGGTTAACATAATACTGAATGGTAAA